TTGGAGGGGGTTGGAGGGGCTGGTAGGGGGCTTATATGCTTTCGTGTGGCATGTTGGCGGGATGGAGGGGGTGGGCATGGTAGATTAGGCTGCCTTTGTGCTGCGTGGCGGCGGGTCACCTGTCGGAGCTGTAATTGTTTTGGGTGACTATCATCACAGGGGCCAGGGGTCGGTGGTCATGGGTTCGACTCACCCATGATAGTGCGTTGCCATACTGAAGTGACCAGTGCCCTCGGTGGCCCAGCTAACTAAATCCGAACCATTCAAGCCCTGGGCAAGCTGACCATCGAGCTTCCTCTTGTCTCCGGACTCCGTGGCGCTCATGTCCACTCCTCTGCTGTTGCGACAAATTGGGCGGCTGGTGTCTACAGCGTGGGTCGAGCAGCGCAGCTCAAGGCTTGGACAAGCAGCCGCTCTGAAACGCGTGCATCAACTACACAGCTCTCGAAACAGGCTCCTACCTGGCCTATACATCAGTACGTCAGCCCTCCGCCCTCAGATCGCCGAAACTGTGTCTTGAAACTGGTCATTCGCGAAACAGGAAGATTGTAAACATTTTACTGACAAGTCTTTGTTCATGAGCCGATCTGCTGGCGGACATGGCAGGAGCTGGCGGTGAGGCCAGCAGCCACTTCATTCGTCTTGAAGGCGCAATCAGAAATGCGCAGTTGTAGACAGTCACGCTGGGCGCGTTCAGTCGGGCCTGCCACACCGCCGACGCCGCACGGCGCCGCCGCCGGCTCTTGCGCACGGGCCTCACCCGTGCGCGCTCCCCTCCTCTGCACTCCGGCACTTCACCAACCTTTCAGCAGGCGTGGACGGCATCCATGCGGTGTCGGGCCAGTGCGACTATTGCGGGCAGCCGGTGGATTCGACCACTCAGGAGTTGAATGTGTTGGGGTGCACATTCAAAAATTGCCCGGCGCTGCCATATCATCAGGAGTGCGTAGAGAAGGTGCGTGGGCGGACACACAGCGGATTCATAGGCACTAAGTTCTTTCTTATCTGATCTCTTCGATGCAGTCGAGGGGCCAGGAGTGGCGACGTGCTGCCATGGGGGCGGCCCGAGCCGGTGGCGGAAGCGCTCCGTCGTGACACGTCAGCCGGGCGGCAGCGGGCAGCTGGCTCAGGGGGCGGCGAGGCCGTGGCTATGCATACATTTTTCCGGAGCTTGCTGAGGCTTCTTAAAGGCCACCAGCAGCCGTTTCGCTCATGCAGAGCCCTCAACATTGGCTGCGGCGGCCTGGCGCAGCACGTGCTGCTTCGGTTCATGGCAGCGCCTCCCTCACCGCGTCACCGCCACCCCCCACTCCCCCTTTCCGATCGAC